CTAGTTTTAACGAGCTGATAGGCAAATCCCATCCTGGTTAAAGATTAACCACTCGCTAGAGCTGCCACTGCATTATCTCCCCACTGGCCGGGGCATACAGGAGCCAAGAGGATTTACTTTGTGTGTGTGTGTGTGTGTGTGTGTGTGTGTGTGTGTGTGTGTGTGTGTGTGTGTGTGTGTGTGTGTGTGTGTGTGTGTGTGTGTGCGTGAGAGAGAGGGAGCGAGAGAGAGAGAATAATCTGCATTCCAACCAGCAAAAGGGTGGAACTGTGTGTGACAGTGTGTTTGTTTGACTATGGGAGTTAGTGATCGGCTTTACTTCCAGCAGGGTGTTAAAACTGTGTTTACTGTATGCCATTTAGCAGTCAATCTGCTTTCTGTGTGTGTGTGCGTGTGTGTATGTGGGCAGGATCATGTTTGTATGTGGTTTGTTGTAATCTGAATTCCAGTTTTTTTTTTTTTTTTTTTTTTTTTTTTTTTTTTTGTTTTGTTTTTTTTTAATTTTAATTCCATTTTTTTTTTTTTTTTTTTTTTTTTTTTTTTCAGGGCTTTGTTTTGTTTTCCCTTAGGGCGTAACAGCATTCAAAGGGTTAACGACATCAGGAAGTTTGGTGTGTAACCGACTCTCTTGGATTGTCAGCCAAAATGTTAAACATTTGAGATCCAAAAGATCTAATTTATTCATACCTCTTTAGATCTTCGCAGCAAGATTCTAAATGTTACAAGTGGATGCAGACTTTGTCCTTTTCATAATCCACAGAAAAATCATTTTAAAATCTATTTTTCTTTTGTTTATCACTCGATTAAATGATAGTGTCATATGCCGTGTCATTAACAGAGGACTCCCCTCTGATTAGCTGGGAGACAATGCCATCTGCTGGATGTTTGAGGAACAAAGGGTAGAGCCTGCTTAAAATACTGAGCAAATGTGTTGCAACCCAGTAATGTTAAGAAGTGGCGGTGGGCTCAATTATCTGGAAATTCATAAGACATTACTCAGCCTGGGTTGCTTGGATCATGCTATTTATCATAACTTGAGATGTGACTCGCATGGCTTGTATTTCTCCGGTTTCGAAAGAAATCATGGAAACGAGAGAATAGAAATATACACCCACATAACCTTAGTACCGTCATCAATTTCCACTTAATGCTATTGTGCATGTTTTAATTTTCAGTGCCTTGAAGTAGCAATTGTTTAACCACGCTGTTCTTAATATAAGTGCTAACTCTTCGTTCTTCCAATGTAGGAGCTTTCCGCTGTTATTGTAGGGTCTCCCCAATTTCTTGTAAAGCTTGTTGTATTTTTTGAGCATTTTTACTTTTATTGGACATGACACAGAGGAGGGCAGAGAGATAGGGGATACTAAGCAACAAAGCCAGCTCGAAACAGGGAAGTTGAACAACCAGCAGGACCCTGCCATGAGCTACACTTCTACTTCAGTGCCAGCAGTGGGAGACTGAACAAGCATTATTTTTGGGGAAGCTATGTTAGCACCTGCAATCCCCTTAGCCCGTACCTGCCATGATATGGTCGGAAAACACCAACACAGGCAGCAAGAAGACTCTCGTCTCCAAAACCAGCAGGGCGATCTTCATGATGCTAGACAGGGAAAAGTGGTAGTGGAGAGACACAAAGACAGAGCAGAGTGTGGCGGTCCTGTGTTTTCTCAGGGGAGTCGGACCGTGGCCTGAGCATCAGAGAGGAGCTTTGTCGGGAGGTGGCCTTTGGCACAATGCTGGCCACCGTGCAGCTTTCCCCCAAAGACAATCTCTCTCCCTGTCATCGCTCTTGCTCACTTGCTCCTTCGCTTGTTCTGAAAAAAGTAACGAGTGACGGAAGGAGGAAATGACTAAAGAAACAACTCATTCACACCCCTGCAATGACAGCAGGACAGACAGAGGGGAAGTCAAACCCACGCTTTTACCCTTTTCCTGAGCCCTCCGCCCCCAAGCACTATTACGCAGTAGTCTCCTCCACCCTGATAACAACTCTTTGTAATTGCAGTGCGTGTATTTGCCGTGTAGCCTGTGTGTGTGTGTATGTGTGTGTGTGTATGTGCGCTGTAAAGGTTTGATTGCACGTCCACATTTTTGATAAGACTTCCTTGTTTGTATGTTATGGTAATGCTTGATTAAGAGAGAATGGATTTCTTTACTTTTACTCCTTACTTTCCAGATGCAGTTGTCATTCTTTCGCTTTAATTTCACTTGACAAGCATTTTCAATAGTTACATAACCATTATGTTAATAAAGCAGACTGAATTGAGTTGAGGCAGATATTCTAACGCAAAAGGTTTTCTTTCTCATGCTGTAGGGCTTGACACAGGCCAGGACATGTCCTCTTTCTTCCTCTTTCCTTCTCTCTCTTTTTCTGTCGAACTGTCTCAAGAAGGGAAGGGCGCCTCAGATATTTGACCTAACCCCCCCTGTTCATCTATATACATGCACACATACATACACACACCCTGCCTGTCGCTCCCCAGCAATGGGGTCAGATGTGGTGACCGGCTGAGCACCCTCCCCTCCTCCTCAGCTCCTCTCCTCTTCTTCCCCTCCCCCTCCTCCAGCTCGCCTTGGCAGGGCATGCATGCCTGTGTCTGTTATCTACAAATGGCTGAGGAATTATAGGTTGAGAGGGGAGGAGGAGGAGGAGGAGTGAGGGAGAGTGTGAGGAGGGGGGTGGGGGGTGGGGGGGGGGCCATGTGACATCGCAGCAGCTGCTAGGCTAAGAATTTCTGTTTTCTCACTTAGAGAGAGAGAGAGAGAGAGAGCGAGCTAGAGCAAGGAGGGGAGAGATAGGCAGCGTGTGTGGTGTGTTGCTTTGTTAGATAAGCTCTAAACGGTCTTTGTGAGCGGCACCACGAGAGACAGGAAGACAGGCGGGCAGGCAGGCAGGGAGGGAGAGAGACAGGGTGGACGGGCGAGAGGAGATAGATAGACGGAGAGCGAGAGAGAGGAGCAGGAAGATGGTGTGTGTCCTGTCGGCGGCTGCCGGTGTGTGCTGGGCTGGGCTCAACGTGAAGATGCAGCCATGGGGGATCCAGGCAGCTCCACTCCTTTGTGCAGTAAGGAGCTTTGGCCACGCTTTTAATCTATCGGGTGGGGGGGGGGGGGGGGGGGGGGGGGTCATGAACCACTGCCAGACCTCCGGATGTGTGCCTCTGTGTGTGTTTGTCAAGCTATGTGCTATCTGTTTCTTCTTTCACTACGTTACTCGCATGTGTGTCTGTTAGCGCTGTGGTTTTGTGTGTGTGGTTGGTACAGACTTAAATACACTGTACTCTGTGCCTGGATAGTATTTTGGTTTTCGCAAGAAGTTTCTTGTATATTTCTTTTACTACCTTGTCTGACTTTTTCTCACTTTCTCCAAAGAGAGAGGGAGGAGCAGCACTCTTAATGTCTTGACAAAGTCACGTTACCGGACTGAGCAGTTGGTGTGTGGTTTTTACTTGTTTGGCCAGTCTCTCAATGGCGCCGTGTGTGTTGCTCAGACAGTGGTCATTGTTGATTTCCATTATTAATTGTGTTCTGGGTTCATTCGGAGTGCACTGGGTAACTGGGAGGTTACAGGCAGGACAACTCAAGAGGTGTTGGGAATGTTATTCACTCTCTCATGCCTGACTTGCCGCTGTGCGTGTCCACTCAAACACACACACAAACACACACACACACACACACACACACACACACACACACTCTCTTACACGGGGTGCTGTGCCTCTGCTCTCTTCTCAGGAGGGAACATGATCTTTTTATAGCCCTCTTAGACTCTTGGGTAAACCCAGATATAACTCCTACTTATCTAATTGTGCTGTTGATATACTGTTAGAAAGCAGCTTTCATTTCAGTGACTGTCTTTGTCTTTGAAGTTGTTGTGTTAGCTGGCAGTTTACTTTGAATTCTGACTTAAGGAGGATTCTCAACAAACCACAGCGTGTGTATTTTGGTGTAATGGTTAATACCTGTGCCACGCACAATCTACACTAATCTGAACTTTTGCTGTCCTTTGACCTACTCTCAATGCTTGTGCTTGTGTGTGTGTGTGTGTGTGTGTGTGTGTGTGTGTGGGCACGCGTGTGTGAATGACTGTGTTTTGCCTGAGCACGTAGGACTATCACACGCCGTTCTGGCGTTTAGGGATTCCACTGACCGAGGGGCTGTCAACACGGTGTCACCTTTCAACACATATGCACGCACGCACACACACCACACACACATACACGCAGGGAGGAAAGGGACAGCCGTCTCAACGCTCCTCACCCTTTTTCCCCCTCTTACAAAAATCTGAAGCTAGAAAGAGACATGACACTAAAAAAAACTTCAAAAATTTCACTGTTGTTCTCTTTAACTCTTCATTTTTGACTGTTGGGCTGAAAGTTTGTGCAATCTTTTTTTGTTCTGCTTGCCGAGTCTCTGATCCCTTGATTCAATAATTCATTTAAAACTCACTGTTAAAATTCATAAATATCCAGCTGGCATGAGTCACATTTAAAAAAATAAATTAATTAAAAATTAAATTAAAAAAAGGGGAGGGAGGGGGCACTCGATGCATAAATAGCAATAACATACAGCATATAATACTCGCAGTATGAAATAAAATCACCCTGATAGTGTTAGAGCATGCTCAGTAGAGGTGTTATGTAAACTCTATGACCATGGACCTCTGGCAGACACACAGCCAGACTGGAGCTTTTAAGAGCAAGGGAGGGTGACCCGCCCTCCTAACCTCTCACCTCTGACCCTAAGCCATACAACCAAAGCCCCTCTGCCCCTCACCAATCCCCATCCACCCCAGCTGTCACAAACAGATACCCAGCACCACACTTTGTCCTGACAATCTCCGTGTCCAAGGAAACCGCTAAGCCTTACTCTTTTCACACATATTTGTCTGCGTTGGTCTTTCCATGTCTCTTGTAGAACATATGTGTGTCTGTATAGAGCTGAGGGCAGTACTGGATATTAAACCTTTCCCATTCTTTTCCACTTTGTCCATTTTGTAGGCATGAGCCATGAGCCAAAGTCACCATCGTTAGGAATGATCTCCACGGCGACCCGTACCACGGCGACGGTCAGCCCCCTCACCCCGTCACCTCTCAACGGTTCTATTGTAGCCAATGGAAGCCCGGCGACCCAGTCTGCTCACTCTGGATTCGCTGCAGCCCTCCGTAAACTGGCAAAACAGGCCGAAGAACCTCGAGGTAAAGTCACACCGCATGTAGGGATGTGACACAAGAATTTGCTAATATGCGCAGTAGAGTTTTTGATTTCAGCTGGTCTAAATTTCGTTTTCACCACAGAAAGAATGATAGCAGCTTTCAGCATTGGCATTATACTACTTTCCAGACATGCATCACAAAATAAACCCAAAAAGAAATTGTCCAGTTTAAGTGATCTGGATGTTGATGGTAATAATATTTCTGTTTGAGTCTGAATTAATATACAGGTGCGCATATTGGTTGTGCAAACGTGCACATGTCTTTTTGTGGCTTCTACTGTGCACGCTCATCAGGTGATGGAATTAAGTATTAAGGTTTACTTAAAAAAAAAAAAATTGGTTTGGTTTGGTTTTAAATCCTCTTTTCAGTCCTAGTGTCTGACAACAAAATCTTTTGTTGAAAATATTGTGATATCAAACCATGATCCTACAATAATATAAGAACTAAATGTATTGTTACGTCCAGCCACACTGACCCTTACCTGTAAATCTGATGGAGTAGGTGTTTTGTACCTCCTGTACGCTGAACATGTGTGGCTGTATATCTGTTCTTTTTGTGTTTGCGTTTGTGTGTGGCTGTCATATAGTGTGTGAATACATGTAGGTGTTATTGCCAGTATGTATAGCTGAGTGCAGAACTGCTAATGGCAATGGAGTGATATCCACACAGAATTGAATTAGTTGGTGTCCCTGGAGATGCGGGGACGAAGAGGAGCCACTCTAGCTGACCCACTTAATGTCCTGCGTGTGAGTGCACGTACGCTTGGGTGTGCTTGTCAACGCATGCATGTGTGTTGGCTCGCCAGTTTCCCGTCATACGTTCTTCCTTGTCATTGTCTTCGCACAATCACACACATGAAACATGCAATAGAATTCCCATCTCTCTGAGCTCTGCGCTGTGGTTGTGTGAATATGAAATAAGCATCAGGTGGTTGAATTACTGGTTACTGACTCATACAGTGTTACGTCAGAGCTCAACCCTTTAAGGCTGAAACATGCTTGCTCAAAGATCTATATAAATGTTTTTGTGTAGGTGCTGAGGGAGAGGTTTGTGGGTTTCTTGCTATGTTTTGTAAATTCAACGTTGGCCCCTAACGTACATGCAAGTATGTGCCCAGTGTCTCTTGATTACACACACATAAACATACAAAGCGTACAAAGCAGAATCTACACAGGAGAGTCTCAGTAGGAAGATTCTCATTTTGGAGTTTAATGAGGGTGTGTACGTTTGTCTGTTGTGCGTGTGTGTGTGTGTGTCTGTGTGTGGCTATATGCGTTGGCTCCAGAGAGGCCCAGCTACCCCAGCTGTCCACCCTTGCTCTGGCTCTTAAATCAGATGGTCCCCTCCTTCCTGTCTTTCCCTGGACACCTTGTTCCCAAGCCCACTGCAGCCTGGGACCCAGAACCAAGCAAATGATTTATTGCCCAGAGAGAGAGAGAGAAAGAGAGAGAGAGAGAGAGCGCTCAGCCCTGGCCTCTCCTCACCTCCCTCTCAATCCTTCTACCCTTCATCTCTTTTCATTCCCTCAACCATGCATGCCAGCCCTATTACTTCTTTGCTCTTTCTCTCTCCAAAAGAAAAATCCACTTCCAGAGTCCACCTCCAGCATCTTTTCATTTTAACATACTGTGGACTCCCCTTTTTTCCACTGGAATTGTCCTTCTTATTTCTGTTGCTTCTCCTCCTTTTTATCAGTTGCAGCTGGAGAACACAAAAACTGTGCTCTCTTAGTCATGTTTTTTAATACTTCTGCTTTTTTATTTTGCATTGTATTGGGAGGTGAGAATGAGTGTGCTCTGTTCCATTTGTAATACATGATCTACCGAGGCAGAGAGCTCACATCTGTGTCTTTGTCATACATACACAAGATCATGTCTGATAAAGCTCTACCACCTTTATATTAAAAGCACACAAAAGCCCCTTTGTTATTGTTGAGGCCTGCTGACTGTGTGGCCTGGCTGGTGTAGGCAGTGATTTGTGGGTGACTCAGCCATCAGGAATAAGGGGCCACTCTGCCCGTGTTAGGAGCGTTGGGTCTGGGGTGGGGAGAGAGGCATGAGGCCCCTGGAGCTCCAGTCACCTCTCTGTCTGCAGAGCCTGTATTTATAGGCAACACACACACCCAAACACCCCCACACATGCAAACAGTTGTCTTTGCAACTGTATAAGCCTTGTGATTTCTTAGCATGCTGCAGCCTGCTGTCCTTTCATTAGCTGCTTTGACTCAACCCCTCTTTCTCTCTGTCTCTCTCACCCTCTGGTTGATGCTTTGAGGTGAGTAGTGCAGTATATATGAGGTGCCATGACTCAGTGTCCTAAGGCCTGGAGGAATTAGTTTGGTTTGAGCACTAGTATCACTGCCACCGGCTGCTGAACTGATTTAAGACCCTGAGCACGGCTGCTGTTTATATACACACCCACACACCCATACACACACAGACACATACATCGTCACTTGTCTGTGGCGAGTATAATGAATAGCTCTGTGTACTGAGTGCTGCACTGAAGTGGGGAGGTGATGGATAATGAGTATCAGAGCAGTGTAAAGGACACACTCTCATCCCATGTACACTCGCATAGCATTCACATGTGCGAGCAAACACACACCACGCACAGAGACAGATAACACACTGCCTCAAAAAGGCAGGCCTGCTGATATCTGATTAATTAGGCAGATCCTGGTTTAATCCTCTCGGTTGCTTCTCCTCACACACTCTCAGACACATACACACCACCAGAATTTCATGACTGCGTTCATACCAACTGTAGTACACTGCCTGGAGAGAGAATGAAGAGAGGGAGAATAAAGGTGTACAAGATAGATGGAGTGAATTGGCTGGAAAAAAGAGGAATCGGAAGTAATTAGTAGATTTGTGAAAACCTGAGGTGTTTGTCAGCTTGCGTGTGTGTGTACGTGTGTGTGTGTGTGTACGTGTGTGTGTGTGTGTGTACGTGTGTGGCCGGAGGCTCCCCTTGTTTATGGGAGCCCAGAGCATGCTGGGACAGCGGGGCAGTGTGTCTCTGACCCCTCCATCTGGAGCCTGCCTGGAGCTCACACAGCCTCGCTGTGCTCAGTGTGTGTGTGTGTGTGTGTGTGTTTCTTGAAGGCAAAACCCTTCAGGCTGTGACTGTCCCTGAAACACTCACAAACAAGCTCATTTGCTTTCCCCTCTCTCTCTCTCTCTCTCTCTCTCTCTCTCTCTCTCTCTCCACACACAGCAACCTTACACCTCTCATGACTCTGTTCAGTAGGGAAGCAGCATTTAAGTATAATATACAGTTTGTACAGTCAGCAGAAGGCACAGAGATTTGCTCCTCTCATTTCCATCCGCCATCTTGTACCGTCTTCCTTTCCCTCGCTGGCACAGCAACACACACTGCGTGCTTCTCCCCTCCCCCCATTCAGTGATGCAGATTACAGGCTTTGTGTTGTGTTGTCAGTGCATGGCCAAGACTGTAGTAGCAGGTGTGTTTGGTGTTTGTGTGCATCAGTGGTTGCTGTGCGTCTGTAAGTATGGGTGTGGGTGTGTGTGTGTGTGTGTGTGTGTGTGTGTGTGTGTGTGTGTGTGTGTGTGTGCGCACGCGTCTGTTTGAGTGCACGTGTTGAGGCTTGTGCTTGTGCGTGTGCTGGTGGGGTGGCATATGGATGCAGGGTTGGCTGGGCACTGCTATGCACACCAGGTGTGAAATGGACTGTTTAATTAAGTGCTGATGTTGTTGTAATGCATGCTGGGAGGGAGGAGGGTTGAGGAGGAGGGGTAGGGTAGGGTGGGTGTGTTGGCGGGGTGGAGGAGAGCACCTTCTGCCTGGCATAGCTGGTGCTGGCTGTGCTTGGCTGTTTTGGCAAAGGTGGTGGTGGAGGGTGGTAGCAGAGGATTGGTAGGGGCCATTTGGCAACACTAAAACATTTTTGTGCAGTGATGTCTTCCTGTCAAGGCTTAGTGATCCAGTGGGATTCACTGCTACAGCTCCTGGGCTCCGCCATTGAATGAAAGAACCTGCTGAAGAGCTGTGGTGACTTCTTTGGCTTTTTGATTGGGTCAGTGGCTGAAGTAAAAGGTGCCATCTATGCAGGGATACTTGGCCACAGCCTCTGACCACAGCTTGGTTTGTTTGTTTGTCGCTGCTGCGTGTGTGTGTGTGTGTGTGTGTGTGTGTGTGTGTGTGTGTGTGTGTGTGTGTGGCTTAGCTTGAGCGGTCAAGTGTGGAGGCAGTCTGGGAGAGTGGGACTGGTAATAGAGGAGGCGATAGAGAAAGGAGCTTCACATTAATCACACACAGCTTGGGACCGAGACAGCACTCTCTTTCTCTCTTTTCCTTTCCTTTCCTTTCCTTCTGTCTCTGCCTCCTGTGTTCTCCCCCTATATCTTGCTCTCTCTCTCAGCCTGCAACCCCCCCCCCGACCCCTACCTCACCAAACCACACACACCCCTACACACCAAGCAAGTGACAATCAGTACAGCTAATGAAGTGCAGGTTGAAAGCTGATGAGCCTGTTTTAGACTCTGGGGATGAAGGCTTGTGCTTCACTCCTCCTCTGCCTCCTCTAGCTCCCTGCAGGGCCAGCATGTGTGGCCATCTTCTCTCTGTATGGATGGAAAGGGAGGAGCATATGGCAGAGATGACACCAGCTGAGTGCCAATCAAACACCTCATATATGATTTTTCTCCTATCAGATGGCACAATGATGTGGGGGAGGGGGACTATGGAAATTGGAGCAAGGGGGTTGAAAATGGACAGGAGGAAATCTTGGAGGTTTGATAGAGGAAAGAGGCTTATGGACACACATGTCTGTTCGTGGTTTAAAAAGGAAGATAAGGGGAAATATACATAGATGCACAAATGCAAACATGTAACCACTCTCTCAGACATCTCTCTGAGCCCATACCAGCTGTAAGTATTGTAAATGTGGTTATGAAAAGTGTGCGTTGAGCCTGGTCTATGTCTGCTTGGCAGGTACTGTGTTTGAAGAACAGAAGGAAAAGGAATTAGGGTGTATGAGGAGGTGGTGGGTGGGTGGTGGTTGTGTGGGGTGTTGTGAGAGAGGAGGAGGAGGGAACGATAGAGGAATAATAGCTGTTTGTGTTTTTTTTTTGTGTGATATACATGTACAGGACGGTTAGAAGTACACAGATTCTGCGAGCTGCAGAAAGAGAATGAAGCTGTTGGTAGACGACCCTTGTCTCTTTTATTTCCTTCTTCCTCTCAACTGCTTCTCTTCCTTCTCTCTTAATTATTTAGTCTGCCCTGCGTCTTCTCCAGTCTGCTCTGCCTCTTCGCGGAAAATGAGGAGGAAGAGGAGGAGATGGGAAGAGAGGGGTTGAGAGAAATAGATGGAGTAGGGGTCTGTTGCTTAGCAGTTCAGAATCACTGTGATCACCGCCCCTCCTCTCCTCTCTACCTCTACCCTTCCTTCAGCCTTATTTGTTCCCCTATCCTTGTGTATGCATGTTGTGTGTGTGTGTGTGTGTGTGTGTGTGTGTGTGTGTGTGTGTGTGTGTGTGTGTTTGTGGTGAGTGAATAGGCTGTGACACTAGAGCTGTATTAAGTGTAGCTCCATTCCCCAGGCTGAGTGGGCTGCTATTGATTGGCCTAGTCTTGCAGGGGAGAGTAATGGCTCTCTGAGGTGAGGTGGATGGGGGGGGGGATTAGGCCACTAATTGCCATTGTGCAGACAAAATATGCCCCCACCCACACACCCAATACCCACCACCCACTCACCCATCTGCACCCCTTATCTCTCTGCTTTCCTCTGCGCTCCATCTCCCGCTTCACCTCTGCCGCACCTCTTTTGCACTCTCACTGGCTGTTTTTTTTCCCCAATCACTCCCAATCTCTTATCATTTTTCATTTTCATGTCTCACCTCACATGTATCATAACCATCTTTCCTTCACACATCTTTTTCTTGCCCTCCCCCAAAAAACCCCCCCCCCCCGCCCCACCCTTCATTTGCTGCTCCTACCACCACTCGCACCTCACACATAGATTTTCAGATTTTCTCTAGACCGTCACCTCACTGCCATTATTGATTCTTTCCGTTATTTAGTAGTATTAGTCACAATGAGGTGTTTAAAATCAGTCTATATCTTGACCGCACCTACCATACGTGGACATTGTCTGTTAGGTTATGTTGCCATGGAAACCGAAGCAGCGAAGAAATGGCGGTTGGGTGGAGACCTGTGGTTTTTGTTCTGATGGTGATAATTGGAGAGGAAGTAGACCTGAAACTGGCCTGAGGTTTCAGCTGCCTTTTTTTTCATGGCTGCATGTAAGCACATTGATGCACAAAAGCACACTACCTGCACACGCACACACACACACACAAGCACACATCTCCTGCTGTCCTTGCTGCAGCACTGAAGTGTGTGTCCCATTGAGAGGGTTGTGACCCAGTTTGACTGTGTAATGCTGCGCTCGCTCTGAGCAGAGACATACAGCACACTGTACTGTCAAGAGAAGAGGCACAGGCTGGGAGAAGGAGAGAAGAAATGAGAGGAAACTTAGAGACAACACACAGGTTAAAACCTACGGGAGAGTAAAAGAAAAAATAAAGAAAGGAAGGGAAGACAGAAGCATAAAAAAAAAAGACAGAAGGGAAGAGACGGTGCACACAGTTGAGAGGAAGAGAAGGTGCAGCCTGTATGTGGGGGTGGGTGGGGTGGGTAAAGACGTAATGTTGGAAAACTGAAATTGCAATGATATACCCATGTGAATGTGAACATATCATGAGAGCTTTGGAACAAGAGAGAGAAAGCGAGATGTGTAGAAAGCGAGGCATGTGACCAGACCGTGACCCTGCGCTACAGGGTTTCCCTGGAGGGCTTTGTTAATGTGGCACAGCTACAGCGCAGCAGAGAAGCTCATTGGGCCAGCTTTTCACCACCTGCTGTGTGTGTGTGTGTGTGTGTGTGGGGGGGGGGGGGTTCTGTGTGTGGCTGCAAGCTCCACTGACTGTATATACATTCAGTATGGCTATTCACTCTCAAAACATTGTGTTGTTGTGGTGTGTGTGTGTCCTGCATGTCAAGGCTGTGTGACTGTTGCAGGGCTGCTCATCCTGATCACTGTCACTTCATAATAGGAGCCTAGGGCCATCCATCTGGCCCTCTGTGTGTGTGTTATTTGTTACTGTTATAGTGCTGCAAACCTTTTTTATTCCCTTGTGAAGGAGTTACAGGATCATAGTGTTGTCATATATCCTTTTTATTGGTAGAGCAAAATGCAGACTATTAGTATCTTTACCTCTTATCTACTTTCTTTCATTGTCATTTGTCTGTGTCTTTCTCCAGCTGCGTCCTCCATCAGCAGTGAGTCCTCTCCAGTGTCCTCCCCGGCCACAAACCACAGCTCTCCAGTCAGTACACCCAAGAGGGGTCCCCTTGGTCCAGGGCCTGTCCTGGTTCCCCCAGCTGGCCACAGCGTGCCAAACACTCCACCTGTAGTCACCATTGCTCCAACAAAGACTAGCAACGGCCTCTGGAGGAACGAGGGACGCCAGGTAAAACCTCATTCAAACACCACACTGACCTTTAGCCTGTTATCTATCTTTTTCTCTTACTTCCCTTTTTTTTTCTTTCAGCTACTCTCTCTGAACCCTCAGATTGTTCCGGTGTATTTTCCTTTCTGTCTCTTATCTGGTTATTCTAGCAGCATTCAAATGTTGTTATTCTTCTGCTCGCCTGCTAGCACAAACATGCACGCAGACAGGCTCTCGAGGGATTAATGGATTTTGTAGCTGGCCTGTAACCAATAGTAAGGCATTACGCAGTTGACATATGTACAAGTGACATAGCGGGTCTATGAATGTATGCTTCCCCCAAACCCCCCACCCCCCCATGGCTCCATGCGTTAAACAATGCCAGCTGCCACTGGGACGTCGAGGTGACAGCCTCAACGGCAGCTAACATCTGTGCCCCTCCAGCCCCCCTCCCACTTAGCCCTCTAGCCCTCTTGCCCTTGGACAAGCCCCTCCCAAGTCCCCAGCCTTTAGCCTCCTTACCCCCACCCCTGCACACCCTTCCACACACCTCCAGCCTCACCCTTACCCTCTTCACTCAAGCAGTCAAGTGCATCCTCTGCTTCGTCACCCCGACACCCGCTCTCTGTTACGTAGTGGGAGAGAGAGGGAGAGCTGCTTCCTTTGATAAGGAGTGGATTATGGATTATGGCCTTGCTTTAAGCCTTCTTATCTCAGCTCAGGGGTAGTGGTCGAGGCCAACCGCACGCTTATGAACAGCACTCGGCAACACGCGGAAACTCTGCGAGACATTTTGATGGTTCCCCGGAGACAGAGAGAAGGGGGATAGCAAAGGGTGAGTGAGGAGGTCAGCCAGACAGCAATGTGTGGTAGCATTCAGGCTATTGCCCCCCCCCCACCCCCCCACCCCTTTCCGAAATGACCCCTCCATAGTTCAAGGGTCAACCAGAACTGGGAGGTGCTGGAGAGACAAGGGAGCTCTCCCAATGTTGTCACCATTTTTTGCCATTCCTTTAGCATAGCAAGTTTCAAAGAGCGACAGAAGGAATGAAGGCACAGAAACTCCCGCCGCTCCCTTCCACATTTATTATAGCTAAACCCGTGTGTATGTTTGTGTGTATGCGTTAGTGTGCATTTGCACAGTGGTTGTGTGTGTGTGTGTGTGTGTGTGTGTGTGTGTGTGTGTGTGTGTGTGTGTGTGTGCATGCGTGTGTGTGTAAGAGGTCAAGCTCAAATTGAAAAGGTCATGTCACTGGGTTTGTGGTGCCTCCAGCAGCTCGGGGCCACCCAGCCGAAGAATGAGGAGGTTAAGGAAGGTGATGTGGACAAGAGGTTGGGATGGAGGGGGCAACAGTGGGGGATGCGTCACGGAAGCTGGCGTCATAGCATCTCCTCTATTTCCGTGGTGCCGCTTCAGTGAGCACATATAACTCTGTGATAACAAAGAGCCACGAGGCTGTAAAGGACACACATACATACCCGCCAACAAAATGTTCCTCTTAAACAAAGATGATACTGTCTGGAGCTTTGCTAACATCGCTAATTGCTGTACAGGAAGAATGCATTAGGGAAGATGGGCATTTTTACCTTGCCCCTTTGCCCTTTACACTTGTCATTCTCTCTTACCTTCTATGTCTGGTTTTATCATTGGGTTTTTCTGCCAAAATTTATTTTAGTTAAGGTATCCGTGTGCCATTCCCTGATACCCTGTATTTTTCCTTGTGACAGGAATTGCATGGTGTTAAAATAAAGTGTGAGGAACAAAGACAATGGGGACACAAACAGCCAGAAATGAAGATTCAAAGACAAAAGGAGAATCTGACAGAGGCACTAGAAATGCAGAGAAAATAGTTACATACAGAGGCCACAGTTTGTTCTGTGGATCCCCTGTAAGGCGTCCAAGAAAGCCTGTCTGTAGCTGTGTGTACATATGTGTGCGTCCTGCTTTGTGTGTGTTAGAAGGGTTGATTAGTGTCTCTAGCTGAGATATGAGTCTGTCTTTCAGAGGGGGTGATGGGCAAGGCAGCGAAGGAGGGGGTGCTTGGTGCGTTGGCATTTTGCTTTAATGACTGCAGGAGTCTGCTCCCGCTGCTGCCTGTAATTGCTTTTTAATTGGCAATTTGGATTCATGGCTCCATCTGAGAGGCGTAAACGAGAGCTCTACAATGCGCGGGGTCTCCCAGCCTCACTGGGGGTTACAGGGGCCTGGCTCACACAGGGGAAGATGGCTGTTAATGGATGTGTCTTTGAGTCTGAGTGCTTGTATTTGTGCTCTGTAGTGTGTATATGGCAGGCTGCTAGTGAATAGTGTGTGTTTGAGAATAGAAGGCTGTGTTTGTTGGCAGGGTGAAAGGTCAAAATGGGATGGCTGGTTGGATGTGTAGGTGCCTGAGTGACTAAGATGCCTCTCTAATGGGAATGAAAGGTTCTGTCTTTGTGGCGTGTGTGCTTTTTCAAGGTTCTGACCTGTTACACCCACACCTTTTGCTATAAGCCTGCATCCACACATACATGCACAGACATACACAAACAGGGACAAAAAGGTGTGCATCCTACATGGCAGCTATATGGACACATTATCATTTACAAACGTGTTTCTACTGTCCTTTTTGTTGATCAGCTCATATTGGAGGGACTTTGCCGGCTTTCAGTGACAGTATGAATTTTAAAAGCAGGAAGCAGAAGCCAGTGGATTGCAAAATTGCTGCAGCGTCACTGTGCTTTGTTGTTTTACAAACATCTTTGCTCCATCCTCTTATGATGGGATTTCTGTGAAATTTGGTGGCAAGGAACAGTTGATTCAATTTTGTGGTAATCTGTTTGGGAATCGCACAAATTGACAGTTATTGAGTCATTTCCATGATTATGAAACCATGCCCTTGTCATGCACAAACTGTGTGCATGATGTAGGATATTGAACACAGGTTCAACCTGCATTTGATTCACAAAGTTAAGATGAATACCAGATAGTCAGCATTCAACAGCATTCAAGTAACTTACAGCAGACATTGGGTGATTTTATTTGCTGATCCGGTTCTCATGTTTCGGTGTAAAATAAAAAGGGTCAGTGAAGTGTAGTTTGGTCTACCTGTAGAAATAATATTCTTTACATGGTTGTTCTCTGTTGTGGCAGCTTGATAAGTTTTAAGGGTTAAGTTGGGGCACCGACTGAAGCAAAATATGCTACTGAAGCATAGTATAACAGGGTGTTTGCTGTTCTTCACATATAACACAACAAACATGAATAAATAAATAAGTACATGGACCTGTAGCATCAGTTGCTTTAGTCAAGCAATGATGACAGCCTCGCTAAACACTTCACTTGGTTAGCAAGCTGTGTGAGTGTGGTTATAGCAATTGATTAACTGACAGTCAGACAGTATGATAGAAAGCAGCTTCTCCCATTTTTACAGGCATATCAGCGGTCAGCAATGCCTCACCAGTACCTGCCTCAGTACAGCTTTATGACACTCAGGAGGAGAGGAGGAATGCAGTAATACACACCACAGTACATGTGTGCGTGACTTCATCTGCAAGTCAATGTGTGTTAAGATAAGTGATTTGAATAAATGTGTGTATATTTGCCTGCCCCGGGCTTTTACTAACAGTCAGACTTCCAGACAGCCACCCATCAGTTTTTGATAGTGTTGGACACCAAGCTAGGAAAAACCACTTTGTGGAAAAAGACGGGGAAAGAGCAAAGAGCAAACAGACAGCCCGGCATTCTGTGGTTTGAATGGTACTGTCTGATACTGACTTCTTTTGACATATATGAACCTCTTTTCCAGTTGGCTGCTGATTGGGAAGGAACATCCACCTTCTCCCTGTGCTCATAAAGCTCTGAAAAGACAGGGATGGGGGGGGGGCTCAGTTATAGGGACGGGAGGTTTGAAGGAATAAAGTGCCTTACTGTTTAGTGAAGCGCAACAAACAACAAGGAGTAAACTACTGGAAAGTGGGAGGTCTAAGAAACAAAGGGGGGTGTGGGGAGTCTAAACATTAGAGCCATTTCAGATTGGATGTTAGCGCATCAGTGTCAGTCTGGGTCAGTGGCTGCAGAAGAGGATGTGGAGGTAATGGCTCACTAAATAGGATTTGTTTTATCAGAGGCGGTAGTGAGAGAGAGGACAGTGCTGCTGTAAGGTCTCTCTCTAATCCCAGAGGTTAATTTAATGGGGCAAGAAGTGCCCTGTCCCCTTCTCTCATCTTCTTTATCACTTCATCTCAACCTTTCTTTATTTCTATTCCTATTCTTTGTAGTTGTTCAACTTCAAGTTGCGTTGCACCATTGCAGTGAAAATCCTCAACTGCATATCCCTCTATAAACAATTTCCTTGTTCGACTTACAAGGGTTGTAAGTCTCCCAGTTCCGCCATTGCATTTGTAGGCAGAGGGAAACCAAAGCTTCAGAAAATTTACTCCCACTCCCACAGCAGGATGTCTTTGTAGCTCTGAAACAGTGTGTGTGCCTGCTGAGTGTGTGTGAGTGTGTGTATGTTTTGTTGTGGGATTGGAGAAGTGAGACCAGGCTTGCTGCCAAAGGGAGAGAGGGAGGTGAAAGAGAAAAAGGAAGAAAGAGAAACAGAGGTAGAAGGATGTTGCTTTTTGGATTTTGTTGTCTTCCCTGAGCACGCACACACACGCACGCACGCAC